GATCATCTACTTCTACAAGTGCGTTGTCCCGCCCTGTGTATGCTGTGATCTCGCATTGTGCTGACAGAGGGCGTGTGCGCCAGCTTCATGATGCCGCACCTGTACCACTACATCACCATATACGACAAGCGCACGAAGACGACGACGACAGAGAAGCACTACTCTGGCGGACCACAGTGGGGCAACCGCGGCGAGTCGTGGTGGAGCACATACAGGTTCGTCCTCGCCTCCATACCCTCTCGTGTTGTTCCGGCGTCCTGACTGCGACCGTACCGGCAGGTATCAGCTCGAGGCGTTCGTCGACATGGTCCGCGGCCGCGAGCCCGCGCATTGGGTCACGCTCGACAGCAGCATCGCGCAGATGGAGACCGTCGACATGGTCTACGAGAAGTCCGGGCTCGGCAAGCGGCTGCCCACTCCGGAGTAGGAGGTCAATCCCCCGCGCTTGGCCTAGTCGTCATGACCCTTGGTCAATTGCGCTTTCTGCTATGGACTCTGCGACTTGAGACCACTATATGCGTCCCCCCTCTTAATTCCCATCATTCATCCCTTGTATCGCTAGCCGTAGTGTATACCAACGATCTCGACTTCAACCCAGCATGGTCGGACTTCCTCGAAGCCTCGTGAGTCAACGAGTAAGGCACATCCGAGCTGCAGCGGCTCCGATCTGTGCGTGAGGATGCCCGGTGACCTGCAAGGTGCGGCCAATGCCGGCATGCGGGTTTCTGCAGCGGGCTGGATAGCAGACCCGATGACCTCATGGATAATCTCTATCAAATTTTGGGTGGCTTCGGACGACGACGGGTGCACGATATAAGGCTGGTAGACCAGCAGGGTGTTTTTCCGATCCCACCTCGCGTCCTTGCATCCGCGAGGACCACTCGACCCGTACAGTACTCACAGCCCGGTGACCGCAGACGTCAAGGAGAACACGGACGCGAACACGAATATTACCATGAAGATCGCAGTGACGGGCTGCAACGGCTCCGTCGGCACCCGCGTCGTCCTCGCCGCGCTCGCGCAGGGGCACACCGTCGTCGGGATCGACTCCGCGCCCGTCCCGGACGCGCTCACGCACCCCGACGTCGACGCGGGGCGGTTTGCGTTCCACCGGGCGGACCTGCGCGAGTACGACGCGGGGCTGCGCCTGCTGGAGGGGTGCGACGCCGTCGTGCACCTCGCGGCGATGCGGACTCCGGGGGACTACGTCGTGGCGGCGCATAATACGTGAGTGGTCCGCGGGGTGCGCTGGAGGTGATCGGTGATGGCTGACGAGAAGACCTGGGATTGCAGGAATGTTGTGATGTCGTGGAACATCCTCCGGGCCGCGGCAGAGGTGTGTCGTGTGTCGGTGCAGGACGTGTAGGCGGACGCTGACGGGCAACGGTCCTGCAGCTGGGAATAAACCGCATTGCGCTGGCGTCCTCGGTGAACGTCATCCCGCTCGTCTGGACGGAGCGCAAGGACTTCGAGTACTTCCCGCTCGACGAGGACCACCCGTGTCGCCCGGACGAGCCGTACGGGCTCTCGAAAGTGTGCGCATTGTAGACATACGAAACCTCCCCGATGTTGTGTAGTGCGCTCACGCACAGCATCACAGGATCGGCGAGCTCCAGGCAGACACGATCGTCCGCCGGTATCCATCCGTGCGCGTCGCAAGTCTGCGCCTCAGCTGGTCTGTCAGGCGGCGCGAAGACGCATTGCGGGACGACCCCGAGCGGCGGAAGAACGACTTGTGGGGGTATGTGCAGGAGGACGCAGCCGCGGACGCCTTCCTCCTCGCTGTGACGGACGAGAGCGGGCGCTGGAGCGGGCACGAGCGGTTCTTCATCGCTGCGCAAGACGTGGCGAGCGAGGTGCCGAGCAGGGAGCTGTGGGAGAGGTATTGGAAGGATGTGCCGATTAAGGAGGGGAAGGACCTGAGTGGCCACAAGGGGTTCTTCGACTGTTCGAGGGCCGAGAGGTTGTTAGGGTGGACACACCGCAATCCGGTATAAGTAGGTAATCTTGTAGAGGTGGTCAAGATGGGTGCAGAAACGTTTGGAGCTACAAACTTGTTAGTGAACCGACATGATCATGACTATAACGACCGACAGCATACGTACAAATTCTTCGTAGTGATGCAACACCTCGCGGAGCTGCTTGCGGGAGATCTCCGCTCTATATAGGATCTCGTCGTCGGAGCACTTACCGTCGAAGTATTGGTGGATCCTGGAAGGGAGTCAAGTGTAAGTGCAGGGCAGCGACAGCATCGAGGATGCACACTCACCGTTCGAATTGCCTGACGATATGCGGCTCCTTGCCTAACGACATCCCAGCAAGCCAGCGCCGCTCAAGCGGCGTCGCACGCGCAGGGTCACTGATCATAGACGCAACGTTGTCGTTGCCCCCAGTCTTATAGTACTCGTCCCACTTAGCCTCGTCAGCAGAGCTCCACAAAAACTCATCGTCCAGCTCGTCGGGCTTCTCGCGCCCGTCCACGTCTTCACCTTCATCTTCATCGCTGTCCTTCCCGGACTTGACCTTCTCCGGGGACCGCTCGCGCGTCTGCTTGCGTGCGGTCTTGGGCGAAAGGGACATCCAGTACTCGACAGGACTCGACTCTGAGACGGTTTCAAGATTCGGCCCTGCATTCTCGTCAGCGCCGCCTCTGCGTCCGCGCCCCCGATGTGGGCTGTCGTTCCTGCGCTCTCGGCTGCGACCGACGCTGATGCTCCTGGCACGAGACCGCGACCGCTTGCGCATGACGTGCTCCTCCCACCGCTTGCGAACGCGTTTCTTGAGGTCTACGGTGGCGATGATGCGGATGCGGAGGTGCAAACGGATGAGGAGGTCCCGCTTCAGCATCCACAGGACGACGTCGAGGTAGAGCGGGATGAGCTCCTTCGAGCCGACGACGGTAGCGTAGAAGTGATTCGCGAGCTGCTGGTGCGTCGCCGTAGAGATCACGGCGAGGAGCTTGGGCAGAGGTGGCACCCCCGTCTGGGCGAAAGTCCGCGCGAACTCTTCGGAAAGAGTGGCCAGCCTGTGGTATTCAGTCAGCGACGTGCCGCACCCAGACCAGGAGAACGACGTACGGAGCCGGGAACTTCTGAGGGACGGAGAACACTGTCTTCAGACTGCCATGTACTACGTCGACGATCTTCGCCCGGCGATGCATCACGAGCCACCGCACGGCAGGATACACTTGAGACTCCAGCTGCCAGTCAAGCAAGCTCGCCATGTCAGCCAGAGAGAGGTACACAGATGCCGAGTCGAGGAACTTGAGAAGCTGCTCCGCCAGCTCCCGTTCCTCGGGGTTGAGCTGCGCTGCACGCAGTTGCATGGATAGCTCGTAGCCTCTCTCGTCGTCGCCATCCAGCCGGAGAAGGGCCTTCCAGGGCGTGAGAGCAGGCAGCCTCCATGCGAAACTGAGCTCGGGCCCCCATGCGTTGGGCTCTCCGTCCTCATCTTCGTGCTCCTCTTCTGGCTCGAAGTCCTCGTCCGCATGAAGGAGCGAATCGAGGTATGGAGGGAGCTGCAGCTCAAGTGAGAGGCCATGGAGAGTGATATGAGCGATAGTGTTTTCTTTGATCGATTCAAACAGCGTCTTCATCGCAGGCGCGATGGTCGAAACCTTGAGAGCTTCGTGCATGAAATCTGTGTAAGATTCCCCTGGAACGGCCATGAGGTCACAATCGCACGGAGGGAAGCGGGGGAAGCATACCTTTGTTCGCATACTCGTCTTTCAACGAATTCAGCATCTCGCACTCAGCTTCGACATATTGGTGCAGCACCTGTTCCTGGTAGAGGACCGCGGTCACGTTGAACGCGATCTGCTGGTAGATCGTGTCAAAGTACTTGGCGATGTTCCCCGACGCAGAGGAGGAGGGGTCCGGGAGGTCCAGCACGACCACAAAATGGAACGTCTTGATCCCCGAGCTTGACTCGCCTGCCTGCGTTTGTATCCTCGGTGCACGCCCCTGCCGAAACTCTCGACCTTCGCGCTCGTCCCCGTTCCTGCCAGCACTTTCTGCCCTCTCCGGAGTAAGCATCCGCTCCTCCTCCCGCGGTGACTGCCTCTTCTTCGACCCACGTCCTCGCGAAGTCGCCTTCGCCTTCGCCTGCTTGAACCGCCACCCGCCATCCGCGTCCGCACACACCGGATGGCCAACGAACGCGAGATCGTCCACGATCAACTCGAACTTTTGGTGGCACATCGAGCTCTGCGGACACAGAATCTGCGCGAGAAATTCGGCCGAATACCCGAGGAGCGTGTCGTACTCATCTCCGCACTCCCCGTCAACGGCGCTGCCCCCCAGGCCCAGAGGCGCATGCGGTCCGTCGTCCTTGACATGAGGATGGTCGTTTTTAGAGGGAGAGGCGCGACGCGAGGTTGGGTGCGATTGAGGATGAGGATGGTTGAAGGAGACGGACCTGTCGCGCCGCGTGCGCGGTCGCTGCCAGTAGTACTCAGAGTAGTCGTCCGGATCGAATGCGGATGGATCCCACTGGGGCTCCTCTGCGATGTTGTCTGGACTATTCGCTGCCCGCCATGGGTTGTCCGCGAGCGCGCCTGGGAAGTCGTTTGTCGGCAGAGGGCGCGCGAGTCGGGGTATCGTCTGCGGAGATGGGGGCCAGTGGTAGACCAAATTCGAGCCTTTCGCAGACGATGTGACAAGCAGGATGCACAAGATAGTCGCGCTCATGTGTTCATGCCCATGAAGGAAATGAGAGCAAACGTGCAGGTGACGGAGGAGGACAAGCAGGACTTCGTACAGACACCTGGCGCTAGCGCCTCCTGGCGCGCAAGTCGACAATCTTAACCACTTATGTACTTGGAAACAAAATATTCGACCTTCCCTAGCTACAGCCTTTTTTCCGTATCCTTTACTTCTTGCACACCATACAATTGCTCTCTTCTGACGTGTTACTCCTCGCAGCTCGGCATACCGAGAATGCAGACGACATCGCGCTGGACGTGCGTTGACAGGCACAATGTTCGCATCGAAAAGGCCTTACCCTGCCGCAGGACAATAAAGCATGCTAGAGACGGTGATAGAACTGAGCTGATACATGCAGAACAGAAACAGGCGGTCAATTCAATGCAATTTCCTTCCCATCATCACGTCTTTGTCTTCAGTCCCTGCTTCTCCACGACTGCGTCGACGATGCCCCGCGCAGTCTTGGGCACCTCGTCCGGGGTATGCGTTGGCGCCCACCCAAGATCCCTGCGCGCCCGGTCTGCATGGCAACGCACGTTCGCGAAGAACAGCGAGACAACCTCAAAGTCGCCAAACTTCCCAAAGTACTTGTCGCACTCCTCCGCGCTGAGGGTGTCGGGTTCGGCCTCAGTGGCGACCCCGACGGCGACGAGGGCCTCGCCGATTGCCTTGCACATCTCGTAAAGCGTGCACTCGCCGTTCTCGGTGAAGTAGTAGCCCTCGCGGCCGTGTCCGAGGCCAGAGGGGTCATCCACAATCTTCGAGAACAGCCGGTAGTAGACGTCTGCGTCTGCAGTGCGTGTCAGCTTCACTAGCTCTCGGGACCAGCTGAGACGTCAATGAAGAGACGTACTGTCCTGGACATGCACGTTGACCCATGCGTTCTTTCCACCTCCAAGAACACCGGCGCGTCCGCGCCTGGCGAACACGTCCGCCAGCCACGGCATGAGGATAGTGGTCTTCTTTGCGATATCGGCGTCGTAAAGCGGGCCGCTCGGGGTGCCATACACGTACCCCGGCACGACAATGTACGTGCGGGCGTACCCGTCCTGGTCCCCCTTGACGACAAGCAGGTCGGCAGCGTGATGAGGCGCGGTCGGGGGCAGGGCGTCCAGCGCGGCAACATCGAGATCTGACCAGATGTTGGAGGCGAGGT